TACGAGAGCAGCGCCTGCCGGCAGCCCGCCATGGCCTACCTGGAGTGCCGCATGGAGAGGCAAGGGCGCCCCCCGGGGAAACTGTTTTTTTTAGCTGTAGCCACAAGTTAATTTACTCCTCAGTCCCAGCGAAAAAGGCGTTGGGGGTTGGTTTTCTAGTGAGGTTTCTCTTGTTGCGTCCCTTTGCAGTGCTCTCTGCTCAGTGCTGAGTCGGGGAGCCCGTTGGGAACTGCAAGAAGAGTGTTATTAAGTCACTTAAAGGGACACCAGGATGCTGTGCACAGGCTGGTGGCGAGAAAGGCTGCAAATCAAAAACCTTTTGAAAATTATACAGTAAGCTATACAGCACCACAAATGCTGTTCTAAACCACAGTCACTTAAAAATCTGGTAAATGGCACGGGTAGAATTTTAGGAAGCTCTTATGCAGTCTTCTAATCAAAGAAAACTAGGTCAGGTCATCTCTAATTCTCATTATATATTTTCATAGTTATATCTTTAGCTATCAGATCAGTTTCTGAAAAAAAATTATTGAGTATCTATTAGCAGGAAACAACACATTTAATTGGAAGACTGATGTTATTAAAAAAAAAAAGTATTCCTGAATGTTGCTTTTGCAGAACTGAAGTTTCTGAGGCTTTGCCAAACAGCAGTCACTGCTTATGGTCATCTTCAATTTCTTTAGAGGACTAATACTAGATGAAATAATAATTCTCTTGGTTATAGACTGTGTTCTGCAAAATGTTTTGTGTTTTGTTGTTTTTAACTTAGGCAGCTTATGGCTAACGAACCGCTGGAAAAATTGGGATTTAAAGACCTGATAGATGAGAAACCAGAAGCAAAACCTGAGAAGTTGTAATGAAGACAGACAACTTTACTCCTCGTGTATGGAAAGCGTAACTCTTAATGTAGTACATATTGTACTGTCTGTTTATATTGGAATAAGAAGTGTTTCCTGAAGGAACCTTTTTTCAAAGTTTAATTTTTGTAAAATGAGAATTTTTGAAATGAGCTTAAGTACTTCCTTTCTCTACTTTCCTCAAGTATTTATTAACTTTTAATTTCTTTAGTCTACTTTTAAAGATCCGTAAGAACCTGGAGAAAACAGTTATTGCCTGATGTGTTCTCTGTGCTTCTCTAAGATCTTACTTCAAAAAGACAAAAAACCCCACGTTTCTTGTGTAGATCTTGAACTACAGATTAATCTAACGTGGGCATTACTAATATGCTTAAAGCAGTTACTTGTCAGGTGGAAATAAAGCTGTTGTGGTACTTACGAATTGCTTTTTATTGAATACTGGTGTTAGTCTCCATCTGTGTGGTGATCTCACTGTGCTGTAGAAAACACTTGGCTGTTGGGATGGGATATTTTTCTGTCTTTTAACCTTCACCTTTGTTGGGAGAGTGTTTCTGGCTCTCAAACGGCAAGCTCGAGTGCCAGGGCCTGCAGGTAGTGATACCCACAGTTTTTGCCAAGGCAGTTCTCCTGCACTTTCTCCTTTATTTGTTGTCCTCTGATATACCTCACCTTCCCTGCTGTCTGCTATTACTCTTGCTTCTTCTTCTCTTCACTGTGCATTTGTTCACACAGTTCCAAGAATGGGTAAAATAACATTTTCTGCTCTTCATATTGATGGTTGGAGCTGGGATTTAAATTGTTGCTTGGGTCTAATCTGATTGAACAGGCTGCGCACAGTTCCGAGCAGGTTCCTGTTTGAAAAGAATGTTTGCTCGCTGCTGCATATTTTTGTTCTACTTCATTCTGCTGTTTAAATTGTATCTTCTGGTGAGATTAGTACGTTTATAGAAAAGAAAGCAGAGATTTTATTGCTGAAACAGATATTAAAAGACTTTATATTAAACCACTGAACAAGAGCTTTCTTTCATTGATACCAAGTAAGAATTATTAAAATAATCTCCAGCATCTTCAGAAGGAAGAAATGAAATTTCATGCTTCTGTGCTCCCTGAATATTACAAGGTGAAGTGAATCCCTGGTAGGTTTGAAAGAACCCACCAGTGGTAGTGGAGGAATCTGGGCCGTTACCACTGGTTGTTCCATCTCTTGGGTGTTCCTCCGCGCTGTCATTTGGCCAAACACTACTTCATGAGTTCGGTGCATGTTTTTCAATTTATTCCCGCCAGCATACAGATCATTAATTAAAGCCTTTCCGTATAAACCTATATGCTCCTTTAAACCGACAGTGGCATATAAGCCACAGGAAGGCTGTAAGTTCATAGCTCCCGTTCCTGATCCCGTACCAAGGAGGAACCTCTCCAGAAGCCTGACAGCAAGCTGGGAATAAAATCTGTATTCTGTAAATGCTGAGCTGAGCTGTGTGCTGCAGGGGAGGCGATTTGTCAGGGGTGCCCGTTTCTTTATGGAGCTGTTTGGAGTTGATGAGCTGCTCTGCTGCGCGTGGCGCAGGGAGGGAGGTGAGTCCTGCAAGAGCGAAGTTATCTTCATCTTCATGAGTGTGCTGGGCTGTGTCAAGCTGAGCTGCTGGCACCGTCGCAGCTGGGAGGCACCACCTGCTGACAGACCCTGGGAGCTGGAGAGGCGCAAGGAGTTGCGAAAGGAGGTTGGGCTGGGATTGATGTACGAACTGCCAGCCTGGAGGTAATTGTACAGGTGTGGAAGGGAGGGCTCGAAACAGGAGGAAACGTCATCTGTTTTGAGGATTTAATCTGTTAACACTGTAATTGATAAGGAAGAGAGCTGTAAGTGTCTTTCCTGTAGATTTTCTTAAGCAAAGCTGCCTTCACACGGTATCTCCAGGCACGCTGCTGCTTGTGATCCTGTCCCAGGGAGTCCCTGGAGGGCTCCAGATCAGCAGCCTGGCACTGAGGAGAGCCTTGCCCACGCATTCCCTCTTTCTTTGCTCGGGTTAGAGTTCATTCAACCACGAAGAGCTTAACCTTGATCACCGCAGTTATTTACAGAGAAAACATTGCTGTAAGTCAACCCTCATTATGTCTTCCTGGGAGGCCTTGAGCTCTGGGTGTATCTCTCCAAATAACTGCAGTGACCTGCAGAACAAGGAAGAAGGAGTTTAATAAATATTTCCAAAGCTCTGGCTGTACTTTTGTAGAAAAGCCTGTACAAAGAGAGCTTGTGCTGGAAGCAAGCCATGGTCCAAAGTCCTTTGTAGGAGCCCAGTGAGCCCATGTCTCTATGCTAAGGAAGGATTGTTGCTGTGTCTGCCGCCTGGAAGCGGAGTACCTGGGATGTGAGTGTTGGGGGTTGAGCACAGCTACAGGCAGGCAATGGGCTGTAGCCAGCTGGCCTTCACGCTCGGACCTCTTTGAAAGCATTCTCCCTGCTTTGCTGTGCCTGACTCGAGGCTGCAGAAGTCCTTGTGGCTGGGCATTATGCTTACAGCAAGTAGTTACCTACTCGGTTTCCTTTGGAGACCACAGAATTGCTGGACTTTGGTGATTAATTGCCCTTTGTGGCAGCAATCAAAAGAGCTTTCACTTACTGCTGCTTTTGTAGGTTCTGGCTAATCAACGCTAACAACAGGCGTGACCTCGATCACTTAGAGCAACTTTTGAATTTCACCCCCTTGTTATCTCACTCCAAGCAGGCCTGGAGAGCACTGGGAGGCAATGCCATTTGCACAAAGCTGCTGGAACTAAACCTGAGGTATATGAGAAGGAGCAGCCTTCTCCCAGCACAAAAAGTGCCTGTAGCATCACTTGTTGCTGTAGGCTCTGAAAAGTGCCTCGGGTGTCCTGGTTCCACTGGAGAGCAGTATATTTCTACATTTATCGTCCTTGATTCCTGGGAAGAGAATGATGCTTCTGCTAGTATGCAAGAGTCCAGTCATTTCTGGTAGCATCACCAGTGACCCGAGAGGAGTTTGGTTATTTCTCTGCCTGGAAGAGATCCCTTCTGGAAGAGATACTTCTGCTAAATGGGGACTGTTGCATATTGTATCAGTTTGCCCATAAAAATCATAGCTCTAACTCAGATTAATTAACAGAAGACTGGGAGGGCATGTGCAAGGGTCCATTTGCCCTTCCATGGTATTTCAGTGGAAACTGAGTGTCTTATTAATCTTATTCTGGTTCTCTTTTTTTTTTTCTCTTAATGATTCTGATTCTGTGAATAGCTAGCACTGCTGCATTTCTATCAGGATGCAGCAGATTTTCTAGCTTACAGATTGCAAGACAAAATGCCTTCCTTCTGGAAGGAAAGTGCCATATGGCTTCAAATGCATAATTGATCACAGCTCAAAATAGGAGCTTCATAGAAAGTCACCTAGAAGTCCCATGTGTGTATGCAGGGGACTCGATAGACCTTGATCCATTTCTTGTTTCCTGAGACTGATGATGATACAGTGATGGGGTTTTACGGCTCTTCCTAGAGATTCTGATGCTTGTGCTCTCTCTGTAGCACTCTGCAGACTGTTTCACACTACTGTATTCTTTATTCTCATTATTCCAGGAGGTTTTGAGACTTGAATTAGCAGCTGCATCAATCTTACGCTTGCTGATTCCTGATGGGCTTGGCTGAATGAAAACACCCCAGACAAGCCGGCATTCACCATAAAGCCCAACAAAGGCCACAGTTATCTCTGTGTGTGTAAAACCGTTCTGGTGCATCATATTTGGAGGGCTGAGCCTAGCCCTTACTGTCCTGCGCTTCCCCACCTCCAGCGGGACATGGAGCTCTCTGCATGAGCAGTCTTTCCCAGCTCCCACACGGAGTAAGGTAGGTTCCCACTGATGTGGGAGGGGTGCTGTGGTCCATCTGGTTGTGTGTCCTGCTGCCTGGCAATGAGCAATGCCTTAAACCACCCAGTGTTGTGGATTTTTTTTCTGTTCAGGTCCTTATGAATTATGGCAAACTCAGATAGGAGCAGTGGTGAAAAGTAGCCTTGCAAAAAGAGAGCATGGAGGTGAAGAAATCAGTGAGCCGGGCTTTTAACTTCACCTTGATGGTTTGAAAAAGCAGGCAGTGGGGGCTGCTTCTGCAGCTCCTTTGGGCAGCTGAGTCTTTTGACTATTTTGGTAACCTGCTGGGAATTGACAGCTCTGATTTCTGGAGGATTTCTCATTTGCTCACTGCTGTCAAGCCCTGCTCAGCAAGAACCAGCTCACACGCCCAGTTCTGATCTTGCTTGCAAAGCTGCTAATCAAGGCTGGCACGTGGGAAGGCAGTCGCATGGGAGGAGATGCTCTGCAAGGAAGTCAGGGCCAGTTCTGTTTGCCCAGTTTGCATTTCTCTGTTATCAGACTGCGTTCTGGGTTTCAGCATGGTTTGGAAGCACTGAATGTCTCCTTAGTGGAGAAGGCAGGAGAATGACAGTACTACAGAATCTGGGACACCAGGACTGCCCTGAGGATTTGACATGATGCTGTGTGCTGCAGCCTGTTTAGTGGAGCAGTCTGCTGCCTGTCTGCTGAGGGCTTTTCCCTCTGCATTGCTCTGACAGCCCCATGGTAGCGTGGCTTGCTAGACGGTCAAAAGGATTTCACCATGCTGAGAAAGCCAGTTTTTGGGCAGGCAGACCCGAATAGGAAATGGTTTCCCACTGCCACTCAGGAATTGCACAGAAGCTATGGATAAGAACAGTGCTGAGAAAATTGCTGGTAGCTCAGCATGCTGAACCAAGCAGGAGCAAAACCCCCCCATTGATAAATGAGCCTTCACATCCCCATCAAGTACCAAATAGGAAATCCCAGGGGTGTAATGAGGCCGTCTGCTTTCATCGCTGGGGTTGCCTCCTTCAGCCGTTGCTGTGTAGTGTGGATGTGGGCGTTAGGCTGTGCTGACTTCAGCCCATGGCTTTAGCAGGCTGCCTTTAACCCTTTGTCCTCACCACTCATCGTTGTGACATAACCCGTAGAGAGCA